AGGCGGACACGTCTTCGGTGTCGGGGTGTCGCCATCCAGACAGAGGCATCCGTGCTTCCTGTCTAAATCTAGCTAACGTTGGAGGACGGGTTTCTTTCCTTTGAAAAGGGAAAAATACCAAGACCTGTCCTATACTTACCAAAAATGCCAAATCAAAATAGGGGGGGGGCAGCAATGACGTCAGACAAGTAAGAGCCGTGGGTGTTCACTTCAGATGTGCATGTGATGCCCTAGTGACAGCTCAATGCATGTCAAACCTGCTTGCATGGAAACAAAACAACAAAACAGTTAATTCACAGCTAAACCACAAGGCATGGTGTGCAAACAGTCCCAGTTTCCCAGGAATAAAGCAGCCTTCACCGATCCCTGAGTAAAACAACCCCATCGTCTCCCTGCCACAAGGTAATGATAGGAACTCTCAGGCTGAGGCAAGGGATGCACTGTGTTCTTGGTGCTTGTAAGGAGGCAACATTGGGAGGGCTTCTAGTGTCCTGGCCCCACTGCTGGACCTCCTGATGGCACCTGGTATTTTTGGCCACTGTGTGACACAGTGTTGGACTAGATGGGCCATTGGCCTGATCCAACATTGGCTTCCCTTATGTTCTCTTATGTTCTTATTACAAAGGAACTTCAGGAATAGACTAGAATGGGGAAATTGCTGAGCTGCAAGTTATTACAACTCTTAGAACAATGGCACCCCCAGGACTTAACAGGGATATTGGTTTCTTATCACTACATATGCTAATCTCATTCAGCCCTTACATCCGTATTCTCACCAATCCCTCAGATGGGCCATATGTCCTCTTTATTTTATTTCTTATTTGGAATAATAGATTAGAACAGTAGATTATAATATAACATAATGTACTTTGGAATAATAGCTTGGAATGTATGTATGGACTGGTAATTTCCACCATTGTATCTGAAGAAGTGTGCATGCACACGAAAGGTTATACCTTGAACAAAATTTATTGGTCTTGAAGGTGCCACTGGACTCAAATAATAATAAAGATTGTTAATTATAAGTGCTATACAGATGATTAGAGAATGTGGCCTTCAGGCAAATGCCTCTCTTTTTTTGCATGACACATTAAGACTGGATCTTATTTATTATTTATTTATTTATTTATTTAGATTTCTTGACCGCCCTTCCCCTCTTATGTGGAGTTCAGGGCGATTTACAACAAAATAGTTCAATCTATATACTAATAGCGAAGGCACCCCCTGAGTGCGGATATTTAAATCTGCACATCGGGGGCACCTGGGGGGCAGGGAGATTTCCCTATACTCTTGGGGCAGTCCCCAGGTTTGCACAAAAATCTAAAAAGTTGAAAAAAGGGGGCGATATTTAAATCCCCCCAAAAGTAAAAGAGCCTTCCCTGCGCACGCACAGGGAATGCTCTAGGAACTGCGGTGGGCTGGCAGTTGGAAGCTGCTCAGGCCTCGCCGCAGGAGCAGGGGGAGGGAGGAGGAGATCAGCAGCAGCGGCAACGGAGGAGACCACCGGAGCTGGTGGGAAGGGGAAGAAGAAGATCGGCGAGGCCCGGCACCTGGCAGCCACTCGGGCCTCTCCCCCTGAGCCGGTGGTGGTGGTGGAGGTGGGGTGGTAAAGGAGACCGGGGACAGGGGGGGAATCGGTGGGGGGGGAAGCTTCCCTGCTGCTTCTTCCTCCTCCTCCTGCTCTGCCTGGAGTTCCCCCCCCCCCCGTGAGTATCGCGGGTCCCCTTTCTTGTACATTTTAAAAACCCATTAAAACCACAAACATACAATATTAAACAGTCAGCATCAATGCTCCCTCTAAGCTGTGGAGTCTTGTGAGCAAAAACTCCACTCCATGAGCCACTGGAATGGAAGCTGCGAGCGAGCGACCCGGCCACTGCACAAATACAACAGCAGACAGGAATGATAGGAATCAGTGGAACAGTAATTAATTTGGTATTCCAGCTCAGAAACCTTGAACAACTGAATTATCAGGGGCTTTCCTTAAACCGTTCATGATACAGTATTACAAAAATGACAGCTAAATTCCTTGCTGATAAAACTTCAGTTTGAATGTCTTTGCTGAATTCTAAATGTCACTGTAGATCTTTGACCATTTAGGAAGTGGCTGTAGTATTTTTCAGCTCTTTGTTGTAAAACAACAGTAATTCCAATGGAAAAGCAAAATGATCAAATAGATATGACAATTTAAACAATTGTCATATCTATTTGATCATTTTGCTTTTCCATTGGAATTACTGTTTGTTTAAACAGCGAAATGCTGCCTGTCACTATCACCGCAAATAATCTAGAATGCTAAAATGGATTTTATATTGCATCAAGTGGCTTAACAAAAGGTCTTCCAATAACCTTTGTGGTAAACAGTTTTACATTATTAAGTGTTGGCTAGAAAAACAGAAACTGATACTGAAGTGACCTGGCCTTAATCGTGCACATTGGAGCAGCCAGGAATGCTTTAAGGAAACCAAAATAACAATAAAAGTAAATTAAATATATAGCTTTAGGCCACAGATGGCTACAGTTCTTGCAATCTGGTTTTCCAATATAATTCTGGCAGGTAGCAACCATGCATGGCACAATGAATGATGCTGTGTCGAAGCATGTATACTATGAACGAGTCATACTTAGTTAAAGAATGTTTCTATTGTTCAAATGGTATAATTTTTCTAGTTCAGCAGAAAAAAATCCAAACAAAAATCTTGATCTTGGTTGTGTGTGGGGAGTAGAGAGGTATTATAAATTCATTGCACAATGTTCACACAAAGGTTAATAAAAATAAACTAAATTGCCCTGGCAGGTTAGATCTTAGCAATATTATAAAGGTTCCCTTGCTCGAAAGCCAGTCGAATCCGACTCTAGGGTTGCGGTGCTCATCTCCGTTTCAAAGCCGAAGAGCCAGCGCTGTCCGAAGACGTTTCCGTGGTCATGTGGCCGGCATGACTAAACACCAAGGCGCATGGAACGCTGTTACCTTCCCACCGAAGTGGTACCTATTTATCTACTTGCAATTTCTTGCTTTCGAACTGCTAGGTTGGCAGGAACTGGAACTAGAGACGGGAGCTCACCCCGTCTTGCGGCACCCGGGTCTTGAACTGCTGAACTACTGACCTTCCACAGCCTGCAGTTCAGCGTCTTAACCACTTGAGCCACCGCAACTCCCTAACTCCCTATTATAGAGAAATATTAAATACATAATCAGACAACAATGGCTCCATTTCTGTGCCTATATATCAGTTTTGCGACTAAACTTTGGCAATGTGATCCTGTCCATGATAAACATACAACTTTTGCTGATTTTAATAGTAACCTTAAGCACTGTAAAGAATAAAAAGTAATTTGGATTTTCCCCCTGTTGCTTTTGTTGTTGTTGCATATTTCCTTACCTCTGCAGCTTTGGTATTGTTTTACTACTGTGCGAGGGGTCATTTCTAGAAACATTTTATGGTTTTCAGCACCAAGTGCGGTTTGAGATCTCAAGGGGAGCCATTCTACCTTATCTATGCTGTAAGCATTCTGGAAATCTCAGCATGTGCAGAAAATCTGCATTTTACTCACTGTAAAGTGCAAATGATGTAAGACATGGGAGTAAGTATTAAAAATGTAAACTATAGACCAGAAATCCTGCCAAAGATGGGAATGGTAGACATCAGTAGAGGGTCAGCACAAAGACATCCTATTACAAAAGCTGGTCATGTTTACATCTAGTTCTTCTAATGTCTTTAGGTAGCAATTATTTGTCTTCAAACCAGGAAGATTAACTGGATAGCTAAACATCCAGTGAGAAGTCTTTCTTTCTTTTTAAATCCCCACATCTGTGGATAATTTGGAACCTGAGCGCAAATGAGTCCTAAGGCACTATATAGATGAAAAGTAGAAAAGTGAAATGCTGTGAATGCTCACCAAGCAGAATTCTTGTCCCTAAAATGAGTTTGTTTGTGATTAGAAACTCTGGGTGAAGACCTATGTAACATTCCTAGTGTGGTAGAAGTGGTCTGAACACACATTCCATTCACTGCATTCCAAAGTGTTTGCTTTCAGGGCAGAGAATGTGTGTTAAACCACTTCTACCACACTTAGAAGGTCTGCCTGTCTTCAACCCAACTTGAATGAATGGTCATTATGTAAATAATATAGTCTTTGACACCAAAAGATGAAGAAATTGGCAACCATAGCTGATACTAGTGTCTGGAGCCTGAGGTACTTCCATGATCATTCCTGTGGCCCTGAAAAAAAAAAGATGATGTATCCCAGATACTTTAAGCCTGCTTTACCGGCTACTCTACATATTAGGGCTAGGAATTATTTGCTGTTAATAGTTGTCATATTGGTATCCTGCCTTTCCTCCAAGAAGCGTTGAAGAAAATGTTATCTTTCCACTAATCCTATGAGATAATTAGGCAATTATGAGAAACTACCTGTAAGTTTCTAGACCAGTGGGATCTGAACCTGGATTGCACCTACTTCAGTCCTGCATGCTAGCCACTCTATCCAAACACTCCACTAATTGGTTGCTGTATACAACCAAGCAGCATAATCCAAAACCTCTGGGCATATAGTCTACAAACTTCTGAAGTACATAATTATCTCTTACAGCCTGATTATACAATATATGAAATGAGAGTTGGCTTGGGGGAACTCAGCCCAACTTGCACTTCACGAGGAAACAGCTCCAGAGTGCAGTGCAGAAGGAGGAGATTTCGCATTCCCTCCCTCCCACCTCAAGCGCTTTTGCCAGAAAATAATAATTGGGGGATGTATTTGTCCCGAATAGTAAAGCCCCATGTCCTGTTATGCCTCCAACCCAAATCACATTTCACATATGTATGTAATCAGACCCTTAGAGAAAAGACAGGCAATTGTGAAATTATGGATCCCTGTTTGGTGTTATCTGTAACACAAGCAAGCAAGTTCCCTCAGACTATTTATAATAGTTGAGCTCATGTAACTAAGGAACGTAGATATTATATATTAGAATATGAAAAATAAAATAATCTACTTACTGATTCTGTTTCTTATCTCATTTACTTTCTCTCCCAGGGATTTTGCCTCTGCAAACCTATAGATACAACAGTATATTATAATTAAATCAGTGATAACAGAAACTGATTGCATACAGTGCAAATATATTACTGTGACTTATCCTTTAAGTTGAATTGAATTGAATCTGGGGTTCATGGAAACAGTATGAACTATGAGAGAGACATACTTTGACCATCACAACTTTTTTGTTAATTAAATTGAATAATATCCCTTCAGAACTTATCTTATAGTAAGTCACGTGTTATGCTCTCAAATAGCAATGAAAGAGTGAAACCTTTACCCTTTGGTCTATACACTGTTTGCATTAAACAATGACCAACTAGAGAATAAATTAACCTGTTTTTTCCTCCTTTTTGCATCATGTATCTATTTCAAATGTTGTACTTTTCCAGGATTTGAAAACAGCATTAAACACTGCACACTTGATCTCATTAGACTTGTACAAAATGAGGTTTTGCATGTTTGGCAGGCATGCTTGACAACAAAACTGACCTTTTAAAGTTCTTGGATGGAGAACCAACAAAAATATACGAATGCTTCAGGAAACAGCACCAGTGATTTGATAGGTGGTTAGTTTTCCTCTATGCTTGCACTCACCTAATTAACCTACATATTGCTCAGGAGTACTGAAAAAAAGAAAGCAAGCTATTTCCTGCCCGCGTGAATAAAAGGTCCCATGACATGACTTGCAAGATTATAGGTGTTAACCGTAGTGGTATGGTCAAACTGGTTCACTGGTAATTACGCTGCTACTGCAAAACTGCTATTCTTTACAACCTTCTTTGCTAGACAAATAGGCAGTAATATTTCCATGGACTATTACATTTTGATTCTTTCATACTGGGAGGTGACTAGGTTATAACTTTAATCCATGTGTGTGAAATACAAAAAGAGATTATCACTGCTTTTATTAGTTAGACGATATGTCAGCTGCCTCCTGGAGAACAAAGATCTTTCTAACCAATCATACCAGTCAGGACTGAAACATGGTCTACATAGGTTGCCCTTGAAAACTGTTTGGAAGCTGCAGACAGTGCCTAATAAAGTGTTTCATTTTCTGTTGAAGTGTCAGGTAGCCCTGTCATAGTTCTGGAATGTGGAGGGGTACCCTCCCTCTCGTTCTCAGCTCTATCCTGCTCAGCTACTGAGCTTATGCTTGACCTTGTAGATGTTCCAGCTGCTGTTTCCATGGCTGGGAAAGTTAACGGCTTTTCTGCTATGCCCGTTTGCTTTGCCGCGCGTGTGAGTTATATCCATTGGCTCATGCTTACAGGGGGAATGTTTGATTTCACTATAACTCAGAGGCCCTACTACTGACGGCCATTCCTGACACAAGCTGTACACATGTTCTTTAGTACTGGATCCACTAATAAACAGTTAACTTCTTATGAAGCCCTGTGTGGTGTGACCTGACTAAGGAGCCTGACAAAGTATCAGGAATCTCTTCATCTCTCGACCCGAATCTCTCATGCTGGGATGAGCAACGGCGAGGAGACCACTCTCCCAGCTCTGACCGAGGAGGGGACCCAGCTCCCGCTTGGGGAGCCAAATGCTAAGACTGAGGTCATGGAGTCTGCCCCACGGGATGTGGGGACAGACAGGGTAGTCCTTCTGCTGGAACCCTTCGGAGGGTCAACAGCCAGAGTGACTACAAGGTTGCAGGGCGTGTGCTGGGGACGATTCAGTGTGGACCCGCATGAAACCTGGACTCTTCCTTCCCCTTCGGGCCCCCGACATGAAAGTCATTATGATTGGCCTCCACAAGATGTGGACTGAGCCGGAGGGTGGAGGGGCCACCGGGGGGGGCGAAGGACCTGAGGAGTTACTTGAGCAGGGCTACAATAAAATGGAGTTACTTGAGCGGGGCTACAATAAAATGCTGCAGCTGATCAAGGATTCTTTCCGGAAGCTGCTGGGGATGGTAGCGGAGGTGGTGCAGGGGGAAGTGCAACACCGGGTGCCAGTGCAATTGGCATGCCCGGCTCAGGTGCCACTGTGTGTCCAGCCTGCTCCACCTCAGAATCCTCTCCCGGGACCTCCAGGGAACGTGGTACCAGCACAACCAGGCCAAGAAGTGCATTGCCCTACAGAGCCTCTGGATGCTACATTCGATGGGACCCCTGAGAAACTGGCGTTCTTTGTGGTTCACGCCCAGAAGTTTGTCATGAACTGGGGCCACCTGTTTCCTGATGAAGAATGCTGGTGGACTATATTGCATCCCGGCTGAGGGATGAGGCAGTTGACTGGTACATGAATCTGCACAATACTGATGGACCGGAGCTCCAGTCAGTGGATGCTATTATGTGGGCCCTCAGGGCTCAGTGTGAAGATCAAAATGCTGGTGAGCATGCTCAGGCTTTCTTACGCACTTTCAAACAGGGAAAGCAGTCAGTACGAGCGTATATGGAGGAGTTCAAGCACCAGGCGGCGAAGATCCAGGGGTGGCCCGATGGAGTGATGGCCAAGCAATACCCCCTGGGTCTACATCCTGAGATCAGGGAAACGGTTCTTTGCAGTGTTCACCCAGTGTCTCTGAATGCCTGGATGCATGAAGCAGCAGATGCTGAGAGCCACTTGCGAACCATCAAGATAGACAACATGGCCAACGCGAGTAAGACAGTCCTGACGGCTCCGAAACCCAACACCCATCAACCAAAGAAGGAGGGGTTGCGAGACCAGCAGATGAAACAAGGGCTGTGCCTGAAATGTGGTGAATCCTGCCTGGGAATGGGAACCCAGGAAGTTGCGCAAGAAGAGATGGACGGACACCCCAACGAAGAAACCAGGACCCCGACCAAAGACCCAGTGAGCACTACAAGCAAGTTTTCCAGAGGAGGATCCAGATTCATCAAGTGAAGAAGAGGATCAACTAGTGGGAAAAGGGCAGGACCTGCAGTGAGCGGTGCTGAACAGCAGGTCCCAAACCCTGAGGTGTCTAAAATGGTGAGCGGATACCCCTCCCTCTTTTTTGTGACTGTGACTGTTCTGAACCCGGAGCTGGGTACCCACGTATGGGTAAGGGCACTGATAGACTCAGGGTGCAGCCGAGACTGTGTTGCCCCTGTCACTCTCCCATCCTACCACCTACTTCCCCCCCCCCCACAGCAGCAGTTGCAGCAGCCAATCTCCAGGAATCACAATGGATGCCCAAATACAGAGATCAGTTCCTCTTAGGGTTGCCAGCTCCATGTTGGGAAATTCCTGGAGACTTGGGGGTGGACCCTTGGGAGGATGAGGTTTGAGCTTGGAAGTGACCTCAGCAGGGTATAATGCCATAAACTCCACCCTTCAAAGCAGCCATTTTCTCTGGGGAAACTGATCTCTCATCTGGAGATTAGTTGTAATTCCAGGAGATCTCCAGCCCTCACCTGGCAATATTAGTTCCTCTGGAGGAAATTACTGCTTTGGAGGGTGGAGTGAGTCTATGGCATTATATCTGTCTGAATGCCCTCCCCACCTCAATCCCCACCATTTCCAATCTCCACCCCACAAATATCCAGGAATTCCTCAACCTGGAATTGGCATCCCTATATCCTTCCCACCCAACTGCCAACCTGCCTTTATCTGCCCCTCTGTCTTCAGCTTTCCATCTCCTTTCCCCCTGCAGCTTCTGAGGGAAACTATAGTCTTTCTCCACAGTGGGGACTAAAGCAGTTTACATTATTCTGTCCTCCTTTTATCCACACAACAACCCTATGAGGTAGGTTAGGCTGAAAGTATGTGACTGGTCCAAAATCACCCAGTTAGCTTCCACAGCAAGAGGGGGATCTAAACCTGGGTCTCGCAAACCCAACTCTGAAGCTCTGACCATTATACTACATTGACCTTCATAGGGTGGCTGCTGTTGAACAGTAGCAAGCAGCCAGGCCTAGTTGAATCATGCAAGTCAGGTTGTATCAAGTCCCCCAGAATTACAACCAAACTCCAGACAACAGAGATTTGTCCCTCTGGAGAAAATGGGTGGACTTTGTGGCATTATATCCAGCAGAGGCCTCTCCCCTCTCCAAACTCTGCACTCCTCAGACTTCACTACAGAATCTCCAGGAATTTCCCAACCTGAAGCGGGCAATCCTAGTCCCAGGCCTGGCTCCAACCCCCCTGCTATTTAGTCATTCATACTACAGGAGGAATCCTCCCCAATCCATGCTCCAGTTCCCCTTTTTGCTTCTTCTCCTTTCTGGCTGTCTCTCTCTCTCTCTGGCTGTTAGCCAGTCTATCTCTCACTGTCGATGCGGCAGGGCCTGAAGTAGATCCCTGCAGCAGCCATTTCAAAAAGTACTGGGGGAGAATTCAACCCTCCCCGAGTTTTTAAAAACTTTTTGGATTTTTCTGCAGCCCCAGGGAGTCCCGAGTCTGTAGAAAAACCTGTTGGGGGAGAGTGCACCCCCTATCTGTGGAAATATGTATCCTCACGCAGAGGGGACTGTTGAGAATTAGATATAGAGATGATGGTAAAATATGCCACTGCTGAAATTTTGACCAGCAACTGAACAAGGTCAGCTATGCTTTCTCTTTCACATTACATAAAAGAAACTATTCAAAACACAGTGGTCTGAGCCAAGGAAGAAATCCCCTCTGCAACCTTAGTTGGGAGGAGTGGATCCAGCTGTTTCACAGCTTAACAGAAGGAAGCCAATAGAGAGATCCATTGCTGGGAGAAACTAGTAGATTTATGGTAGAAATAGAATGAGAGATAGTCAATGGTGAGCTTGCTGTGGAACTGCACTCATTGTACCTGTGACATCCATATAGTCAGGAGTGGGCACACAGGGAGTATTTTTTTCTGCTGGAAGACCAAGCTGAATTTGCAGAGCACTGACTAGCCAGCCCTTGTGGAAACTTTCAAACAACTTCTTCCCTTCCCAGCAGTGTTCCCTCTAAGCTGAGTTAGTGTGAGCTAGCTCACAGTTTTTTTAGCCTCTGGCGCACACATTTTTGTCTCAGTTCAGGAAGGATGGCTCCAGAGCAAACTAATTTATGCAGCAGCCAAATTGCTCGCTTACAACTTTAATGCCA